GCGGTACCTTGAGGATCACCAGCTGATTAGTGACCACCAGTACGGTTTTCGTCGGGGTCGATCAGCTGGTGATCTTCTGGTCTACTTAACTCATAGATGGGCGGAGGCAGTAGAGTCCAAGGGGGAGGCATTGGCCGTTAGTTTGGACATTGCGAAGGCCTTCGATCGGGTTTGGCACAAAGCGCTTCTTTCGAAGCTCCCTTCCTATGGGCTTCCCGAGAAATTATGCAATTGGATCACCAGCTTTCTTGCAGATCGGAGCATCAAGGTCGTTGTAGACGGTGCATGCTCCGACTACAAGCCTATTAACGCTGGTGTTCCACAAGGCTGCGTGCTATCACCAACGCTGTTTCTTCTGCATATCAATGATATGTTGCAAGCCGGTAGCATTCATTGCTATGCAGATGACAGCACTGGTGATGCCTTATAGACCGGCCGTGCCAATATTTCTCGGGAAAACGTCGCCGAATACCGGGGCGAACTTTTGTCTGAAGTCGAGTCTTTGCTGAACAAGGTCTCGGATTGGGGGCGACTAAATCTAGTCCAGTTTAATCCTCAGAAGACACAAGTTTGCGCGTTTACCGCTAAAAAGAACCCCTTTGTCGTATCTCCTCAGTTTCAAGGTACTCCCCTTGTTGCCTCAGCCAGTATCGGAATCCTCGGCGTCGACATATCGAGTAACGTGCAGTTTTGTGGTCACTTGGAAGAGAAGGCCAAATTGGCCTCTAAAAAGCTTGGCGTGCTCAGTAGAGCGGGACAGTATTTCATGCCGGCTCAACGTCTGCAACTTTACAAGGCGCAGGTTCGGCCTCACATGGAATACTGTTCCCATCTCTGGGCTGGGGCTCCCCAGTGCCAGCTCCTTCCACTTGACCGCATCCAGCGCAGAGCGGCTCGAATCGTCGACGACCGAGTCCTTTCCGATCGGCTCGACTCATTGGCACTGCGAAGAGATGTTGCATCTCTTAGCATTTTCTTACGCATTTACCATGGGGAGTGCTCTGAGGAATTGTTCGGATTAATCCCAGCCGCCAAATTTCACGAACGCACATCGCGGCAGAACTCCCGATACCATCCACACCATCTGGATGATTGGCGGTCCACCACTGTGCGATTTAGAAGATGTTTTCTTCCTCGCACAACTTCCTTGTGGAATAGTTTACCACCAGCGATTTTTCCGGACCGATACGACTTAGGGACCTTCAAGAAAAGAGCCTACTCCTTTTTAAAAGGCCGGCAACGCATCTGCAATTCCCCTGGTGTTGCGGTTGTTCATGGGCGGCGGTAGTCACTTACCATCAGGTGAGCCGCATGCTCGTTTGCCCCCTCTCTTATAAAAAAAAAAAAAAAAAGTGACTACCGCCGCCCATGAACAACCGCAACACCAGGGAAATTGCAGATGCGTTGCCGGCCTTTTAAAAAGGAGTAGGCTCTTTTCTTGATTAGAATATTTTAAGTAATAAGTTATACTACTAACGAATATTTAAAAATAGTTAAAAATAGCGCACTCGTACGTAATGAGGTCACGGTGAATACTGTCAGTAGTCGGCCAGCCGGGCGGCCGTTATTTATAGTCACTATTTATTAGTCATTACTTAACCATTAAATAGTTTAATAACCCTGTGAAATAAACTTAAAATTGGAGACTTTCTTCGTTTTCGATCGAAACCGCACGACCCGTTGACAGAACCGAGCGGGTCACAAAGATTACAGGGTACTGAAACCCGAAATGATCGATTCGAATGAACGACCCGAATGACCCGGCTCATATGACTAATTAATTCTTGAACGACCGGGTCCAATAGTAATGAACGATTGACCCAACATGTCTAAGTGAAACATTTATCTAAAAATTAGCGGGTGAATAATGAGTCCAACAAAACTGTAAACAAACATTCTAGCTTTTTATGTGTTTAGTCCTCTACATGAACTTTATCGTAACATTTTCCAACCTGTACGTCGCCACTGTGAGATGCCGCTGCAGGCCCCAAGCGGCAGAATTGCTAAAGCGCATAGTGAAAATATTGTTCTAAGAGTATAATTTGCCACTATGTCTGGCGTATGTGGACTATGAGAAAGCCTTTGATTCCGTCGAAATTTGGGCGGTGCTGCAGTCCCTTCAGCGGTGCCAAGTTGACTGTCGGTATATCGAAGTGTTGAAGTGCTTGTACAGTAGGGCTACGATGGCTATCCGAGTACAGAACCAGAGTACGAAACCTATCCAATTGCAGAGAGGTGTAAGACAGGGTGACGTCATATCCCCGAAACTCTTCACCGCTGCATTGGAAGACGTTTTCAAGCTTCTGGACTGGAAAGGATACGGTATCAACATCAATGGCGAGTACATCACTCACCTTCGATTTGCCGACGATATAGTCCTTATGGCAGAATCGCTGGAGGACCTAAGCACTATGCTCAATGACCTCGATAGTGTTTCCCAACGGATAGGTCTTAAGATGAACATGGACAAAACAAAGATCATGTTCAATGTCCATGTCACACCTATGCCGGTAGTTGTTGGGAGCACTAAGCTCGAAGTTGTTGACGAGTATGTTTACCTGGGACAAATAGTCCGACTAGGTAAGTCCAACTTCGACCGAGAGGTCAATCGACGGATTCAACTCGGCTGGGCAGCGTTCGGGAAGCTACGACACATCTTCTCGTCAGACATACCTCAAAACCTGAAAACGAAATTGTACAACCAGTGCGTGTTGCCAGTGATGACTTATGGAACTGAGACGTGGTCCTTCACTGCTGGCCGTATGAGGAAGCTCAAGGTCGCTCAGCGAGCTATGGAGAGGGCTATGCTCGGAGTTTCTCTGCGTGATAAACTTAGGAATGAGGATATCCGCAGTAGAACCAGAGTAACCGACATAGCCCAACGGATTAGTAAGCTGAAGTGGCAGTGGGCCGGCCATATAGCTCGAAGAACCGACAACCGATGGGGAAGAAAGGTTCTCGAGTGGCAGCCTCGTACCGGTAGGCGAAGTGTAGGGCGTCCCCCCACGAGATGGAGTGACGACCTGGTAAGACATGCAGGAAGTCGATGGATGCAGGTGGCTCAGGACCGTGCTTTGTGGCATTCTTTGGGGGAGGCCTATGTTCAGCAGTGGACTTGTGAAGGGCTGTAATGAATGAAAGTAACATATTTGTACTGGTACTATTATACCGAACAATATTTTCGCATAGTGAACTTGTTGACTTCTGTACAATTTGCCGAAGGGTATGTATGTGGTCTATGGTGCTAAAGCCCTTTCGGAAACCGGCTTGTTCGGGAGGCTGGAAGTCGTCAAGTCTGCGCGCGAGACGATTCGTAATGACTCTCGAAAACAGCACGTAGACGCGGCTCAGAAGGGAAATCGGTCTGTAGTTCTTCAAGAGAGCGTTGTCACCTTTCTTGAAGAACAAGACCACCGCACTTCTGCTCCACGCCTCCGGTGTAATGCCACCATGGAGGACGGAATTAAAGAGCTTCTGAAGGACTTCAAGTACCGGTCTTCCACCCGCTTTCAGAAGCTCCGCTGTAATTCCATCCTCGCCTGGGGCCTTACCGTTTTTAAGGTGCTGGAGAGCCATTCTAATCTCGCTCAGACTGACGTCCGGGATATCTTCGGAATAGTGTCGGATGAGACTCGCTCTTGGATCGTTACTCACACTTGCGTGTGGCTCCAACGATGACGTGTACAGCTGCCCATAGAACCTCTCAATCTCACTCAAAATCTCAGGTGTCCCGGAAACGATGCTGCCACATTCTGTCTTCAGCTTTGACAGGTGGCTCTTTCTGGCAGACAGATCTCTGGCAAAGACTTTGGAGCCTTGGTTCCGCTCGATCGCTTCTTCAATACGAGCTGTATTGAAGTTGCGTAAGTCCCGCCGCATGCATTTGGAGATCTGTCTGTTCAGATGCCTGTATGCTGTCAAGTCTGTTGAAGAATGTAGCTTCATCTCCCGCCTAACAGCCATGAGATTAAGAGTGTGATCGGAGAGTTTTTGTGTTCTTCTGCGGCGGGTCTTGCAGAACTTAGCTCCGACCGCATGGACAGTTTCCACGAGCTTGTCACTCATATCGTCCACTTCATTGCAGTCTTCTAGGCACTGAAAACGGTTTTGTAACTCGAGCTGAAAGGTTTCAGGACTTTGGAACAGAGCACGAGGGGGACGGAGCGTTGACTTCATTAGACGAGACCTCTCCAACTTAACGTTTAGGTTCAGTGTGCCTCTAACCATTCGGTGATCGCTACCAGTTTTCACCCTCGCGATCACGGAGACATCACTGAACAGTTGTCGTCTGGTCGTCATAATGAAGTCAATCTCATTTTTTGTCGAACCATCGGGGCTCGACCAGGTCCACTTCCTGTGGGGCCGCTTCTGGAAGAAAGAGTTCATCATAAAGAGTTCCTCTTTCTCCATGAAGTCGGCCAGCTGCTGGCCCCTTGGGTTCCGTTGCCCTATTCCAAATTTCCCTACTTTCAGCTCACCGTTCTCTCTTGTGCCTAGTTTTGCATTGAAGTCTCCCATTAACACCGTATATTGGGTTTTGGAGGAATGCATGGCTCTAGAGATATCCTCATACATTTCCTCCACCTCCCCATCGGGGTGTGCCGAGGTTGGTGCGTAAACCTGTATGACCTTCAGCGAATACCGTTTGGTGATTCTGAGTATAAGGTACGCAACCCTCGTCGACACACTCCCGATCTTTACAACGTTGTTAACGAGAGACTTGTGGACGATAAATCCGACACCTCCTTGGGACAGATGGTCGCCCTCCCGGTGATAGAGCAAGTTGCCGGATTCGAGGATTACCGTGTCCTCCCCCTCTCTTCGGACTTCGGATAATCCTATAATATGCCAGCGCAACTTGTCTATCTCTTCAGTAAATATGTTACTTAGTATGAAAATAAAAAAAGAAAAGATAACGAGCATGACATGACAAAATAATGGAAATATAACTTAAGAATGAAAGACATGATGTAATAGAATATGAAATGAGCATAAATTACCCCAAAGAGACAACCGGGCGCGTCGACTGCATCGCGTGATGAGCACTGCGATAGTTCTTCCGTTGAGCTCTCCAGCCCTCCACACTGTGCATAAACATAGATGTATTAGTTAACAGTTACGTGCCGTGTACTGGAGGTGTGAGAATATCCACTACCCTATGTCATCCCGGGGGTAGACAGAGGGGAATGAAACAGGAGATAGCCAGCATCATCTTCCTGGTAACAACTCTGAACTAATGAAAATTAACGGGTGGCCAATTCGCTTGCCAAGCATGGCAACTATAGCAAATATTTTCTCTCTGAGGGAATTAATGGCAAATCTAAGGAAAATTTTGTGTCTTCTTAAGCGCATAACTAGTCTGTATTTATTAGAAACCTGGACTGACAACGGAGAACAGCATTAGAGATACGCATATACGAGTACGTAAGAAATTCTATTCTGATTCGATAGAGCAAAACAAAGTGACTGCTGCAGATCGCGGTTTGGATTAACGATATTATTTTTTAAGACGTTTGAGGCGCAGCGAGCACGCGTCCAGCAGCAGCAGCGCGGCCGTGCGGAGCGAGAGAGAGAGAGAGAGAGAGAGAGATAGTGTGTGGCACGTACCGCGCGCACGTGCACGACGAGCAGGTCGTCGTGGTAGGGCGAGAGCGAGAGGCGGTAGACTGTGTGCGCGGGCACGCGGCGCTTGAGGCGCAGCGAGCGCGCGTCCAGCAGCAGCAGCGCGGCCGTGCGGAGCGAGAGAGAGAGAGAGATAGTGTGTGGCACGTACCGCGCGCACGTGCACGACGAGCAGGTCGTCGTGGTAGGGCGAGAGCGAGAGGCGGTAGACTGTGTGCGCGGGCACGCGGCGCTTGAGGCGCAGCGAGCGCGCGTCCAGCAGCAGCAGCGCGGCCGTGCGGAGCGAGAGAGAGAGAGAGAGAGAGAGATAGTGTGTGGCACGTACCGCGCGCACGTGCACGACGAGCAGGTCGTCGTGGTAGGGCGAGAGCGAGAGGCGGTAGACTGTGTGCGCGGGCACGCGGCGCTTGAGGCGCAGCGAGCGCGCGTCCAGCAGCAGCAGCGCGGCCGTGCGGAGCGAGAGAGAGAGAGAGATAGTGTGTGGCACGTACCGCGCGCACGTGCACGACGAGCAGGTCGTCGTGGTAGGGCGAGAGCGAGAGGCGGTAGACTGTGTGCGCGGGCACGCGGCGCTTGAGGCGCAGCGAGCGCGCGTCCAGCAGCAGCAGCGCGGCCGTGCGGAGCGAGAGAGAGAGAGAGAGAGAGAGATAGTGTGTGGCACGTACCGCGCGCACGTGCACGACGAGCAGGTCGTCGTGGTAGGGCGAGAGCGAGAGGCGGTAGACTGTGTGCGCGGGCACGCGGCGCTTGAGGCGCAGCGATCGCGCGTCCAGCAGCAGCAGCGCGGCCGTGCGGAGCGAGAGAGAGAGAGAGAGAGATAGTGTGTGGCACGTACCGCGCGCACGTGCACGACGAGCAGGTCGTCGTGGTAGGGCGAGAGCGAGAGGCGGTAGACTGTGTGCGCGGGCACGCGGCGCTTGAGGCGCAGCGAGCGCGCGTCCAGCAGCAGCAGCGCGGCCGTGCGGAGCGAGAGAGAGAGAGAGATAGTGTGTGGCACGTACCGCGCGCACGTGCACGACGAGCAGGTCGTCGTGGTAGGGCGAGAGCGAGAGGCGGTAGACTGTGTGCGCGGGCACGCGGCGCTTGAGGCGCAGCGATCGCGCGTCCAGCAGCAGCAGCGCGGCCGTGCGGAGCGAGAGAGAGAGAGAGAGAGATAGTGTGTGGCACGTACCGCGCGCACGTGCACGACGAGCAGGTCGTCGTGGTAGGGCGAGAGCGAGAGGCGGTAGACTGTGTGCGCGGGCACGCGGCGCTTGAGGCGCAGCGAGCGCGCGTCCAGCAGCAGCAGCGCGGCCGTGCGGAGCGAGAGAGAGAGAGAGAGAGAGAGATAGTGTGTGGCACGTACCGCGCGCACGTGCACGACGAGCAGGTCGTCGTGGTAGGGCGAGAGCGAGAGGCGGTAGACTGTGTGCGCGGGCACGCGGCGCTTGAGGCGCAGCGATCGCGCGTCCAGCAGCAGCAGCGCGGCCGTGCGGAGCGAGAGAGAGAGAGAGAGAGAGATAGTGTGTGGCACGTACCGCGCGCACGTGCACGACGAGCAGGTCGTCGTGGTAGGGCGAGAGCGAGAGGCGGTAGACTGTGTGCGCGGGCACGCGGCGCTTGAGGCGCAGCGAGCGCGCGTCCAGCAGCAGCAGCGCGGCCGTGCGGAGCGAGAGAGAGAGAGAGAGAGAGAGATAATGTGTGGCACGTACCGCGCGCACGTGCACGACGAGCAGGTCGTCGTGGTAGGGCGAGAGCGAGAGGCGGTAGACTGTGTGCGCGGGCACGCGGCGCTTGAGGCGCAGCGATCGCGCGTCCAGCAGCAGCAGCGCGGCCGTGCGGAGCGAGAGAGAGAGAGAGAGAGATAGTGTGTGGCACGTACCGCGCGCACGTGCACGACGAGCAGGTCGTCGTGGTAGGGCGAGAGCGAGAGGCGGTAGACTGTGTGCGCGGGCACGCGGCGCTTGAGGCGCAGCGAGCGCGCGTCCAGCAGCAGCAGCGCGGCCGTGCGGAGCGAGAGAGAGAGAGAGAGAGATAGTGTGTGGCACGTACCGCGCGCACGTGCACGACGAGCAGGTCGTCGTGGTAGGGCGAGAGCGAGAGGCGGTAGACTGTGTGCGCGGGCACGCGGCGCTTGAGGCGCAGCGAGCGCGCGTCCAGCAGCAGCAGCGCGGCCGTGCGGAGCGAGAGAGAGAGAGAGATAGTGTGTGGCACGTACCGCGCGCACGTGCACGACGAGCAGGTCGTCGTGGTAGGGCGAGAGCGAGAGGCGGTAGACTGTGTGCGCGGGCACGCGGCGCTTGAGGCGCAGCGAGCGCGCGTCCAGCAGCAGCAGCGCGGCCGTGCGGAGCGAGAGAGAGAGAGAGAGAGAGAGATAGTGTGTGGCACGTACCGCGCGCACGTGCACGACGAGCAGGTCGTCGTGGTAGGGCGAGAGCGAGAGGCGGTAGACTGTGTGCGCGGGCACGCGGCGCTTGAGGCGCAGCGAGCGCGCGTCCAGCAGCAGCAGCGCGGCCGTGCTGAGCGAGAGAGAGAGAGAGATAGTGTGTGGCACGTACCGCGCGCACGTGCACGACGAGCAGGTCGTCGTGGTAGGGCGAGAGCGAGAGGCGGTAGACTGTGTGCGCGGGCACGCGGCGCTTGAGGCGCAGCGAGCGCGCGTCCAGCAGCAGCAGCGCGGCCGTGCGGAGCGAGAGAGAGAGAGAGAGAGATAGTGTGTGGCACGTACCGCGCGCACGTGCACGACGAGCAGGTCGTCGTGGTAGGGCGAGAGCGAGAGGCGGTAGACTGTGTGCGCGGGCACGCGGCGCTTGAGGCGCAGCGAGCGCGCGTCCAGCAGCAGCAGCGCGGCCGTGCGGAGCGAGAGAGAGAGAGAGAGAGATAGTGTGTGGCACGTACCGCGCGCACGTGCACGACGAGCAGGTCGTCGTGGTAGGGCGAGAGCGAGAGGCGGTAGACTGTGTGCGCGGGCACGCGGCGCTTGAGGCGCAGCGAGCGCGCGTCCAGCAGCAGCAGCGCGGCCGTGCGGAGCGAGAGAGAGAGAGAGAGAGATAGTGTGTGGCACGTACCGCGCGCACGTGCACGACGAGCAGGTCGTCGTGGTAGGGCGAGAGCGAGAGGCGGTAGACTGTGTGCGCGAGCACGCGGCGCTTGAGGCGCAGCGAGCGCGCGTCCAGCAGCAGCAGCGCGGCCGTGCGGAGCGAGAGAGAGAGAGAGAGAGAGAGATAGTGTGTGGCACGTACCGCGCGCACGTGCACGACGAGCAGGTCGTCGTGGTAGGGCGAGAGCGAGAGGCGGTAGACTGTGTGCGCGGGCACGCGGCGCTTGAGGCGCAGCGAGCGCGCGTCCAGCAGCAGCAGCGCGGCCGTGCGGAGCGAGAGAGAGAGAGAGAGAGAGAGAGAGATAGTGTGTGGCACGTACCGCGCGCACGTGCACGACGAGCAGGTCGTCGTGGTAGGGCGAGAGCGAGAGGCGGTAGACTGTGTGCGCGGGCACGCGGCGCTTGAGGCGCAGCGAGCGCGCGTCCAGCAGCAGCAGCGCGGCCGTGCGGAGCGAGAGAGAGAGAGAGATAGTGTGTGGCACGTACCGCGCGCACGTGCACGACGAGCAGGTCGTCGTGGTAGGGCGAGAGCGAGAGGCGGTAGACTGTGTGCGCGGGCACGCGGCGCTTGAGGCGCAGCGAGCGCGCGTCCAGCAGCAGCAGCGCGGCCGTGCGGAGCGAGAGAGAGAGAGAGATAGTGTGTGGCACGTACCGCGCGCACGTGCACGACGAGCAGGTCGTCGTGGTAGGGCGAGAGCGAGAGGCGGTAGACTGTGTGCGCGGGCACGCGGCGCTTGAGGCGCAGCGAGCGCGCGTCCAGCAGCAGCAGCGCGGCCGTGCGGAGCGAGAGAGAGAGAGAGAGAGAGAGATAGTGTGTGGCACGTACCGCGCGCACGTGCACGACGAGCAGGTCGTCGTGGTAGGGCGAGAGCGAGAGGCGGTAGACTGTGTGCGCGGGCACGCGGCGCTTGAGGCGCAGCGAGCGCGCGTCCAGCAGCAGCAGCGCGGCCGTGCGGAGCGAGAGAGAGAGAGAGAGAGAGAGATAGTGTGTGGCACGTACCGCGCGCACGTGCACGACGAGCAGGTCGTCGTGGTAGGGCGAGAGCGAGAGGCGGTAGACTGTGTGCGCGGGCACGCGGCGCTTGAGGCGCAGCGATCGCGCGTCCAGCAGCAGCAGCGCGGCCGTGCGGAGCGAGAGAGAGAGAGAGAGAGAGATAGTGTGTGGCACGTACCGCGCGCACGTGCACGACGAGCAGGTCGTCGTGGTAGGGCGAGAGCGAGAGGCGGTAGACTGTGTGCGCGGGCACGCGGCGCTTGAGGCGCAGCGAGCGCGCGTCCAGCAGCAGCAGCGCGGCCGTGCGGAGCGAGAGAGAGAGAGAGAGAGATAGTGTGTGGCACGTACCGCGCGCACGTGCACGACGAGCAGGTCGTCGTGGTAGGGCG